AAAAAAAAAAAAAAAAAGCAGCTACATGAAGCTGCAAATGCAGAGGGCAAGTAAGCAGGCACGTAAAGGTGGTGGTTCCACAGCTGCTGCAAGGCAAGGGAGGATGAAACAAGGGAGAAGGTGTTAGCAGGGGCAGTGTTGTAGGGAGAGATGCAAAGCAGGGTAAAGAAAAGGTGACAATGATTGGAATGGCTCATTTCCTGCCACATTGGACAGCTACTGCATTCGGTTGTTGTTGTGTGCCTTCAAGTTGTTTCCAACTTACAGCTACTTTAATGTGAACCTATCATGGGGTTTTCTTGGCAAGTTTCTTCAAAAGGAGTTTGCCATTCTCATCCTCTAAGGCTGAAAGAGTGTGATTCACTCAAGGTCACCCAGTAGGTTTACAGGGCCAAGATGGGATTCGAATCCTGGTCTCCAGAGTCATAATCCAACGTTCAAACCACTACACCATGCTGGCTCACAGCATTCGAACATCCCCTTATAAAATGGTACTTGATTTTTTTTTTCCCCGGGTCATCTATCCAAGATACATAGCATTGTTATATCAAGAGAAAACAACACACTCAAATCAAATCATTGATTTATTCAATGCAGCATTTGCCCTGCATTGTTGTACCCTTCCTCCTTCATTCCAATGGTTCCAATGCTTGCCATGCAGTCTTTGCAAGGAATACTGCAAAACAGACTTTGCCTAGGCTTTCCCCCAAGAAAAGCCAGATTTTCTGTAGAGTAATACTGAATTGAAAGAAGAATGGAAAAGACAGCTGTTTAATGTCAAATATCAGTCATAAATGGGAGACTTCACTGATTGGCTAGACACTCACATGCAAAGAATTTGAGAAGTCATTTCTTTGCAAAGCCTTATGTCTGATTGAAGATAAGAGCAACAGAAAAAGAAATAAGGAGCTAAAACTTGGTTTCATCATGCCACAAACTTCACAATAAGCCTTGTTAGAAAATGGGAAGCCATTTCACATTGGTGTTTTTCAAAACACCCTGAATTAACCCAACACGCTGTTCTTAATAACTTATTTCCAAATTCTGTCAGAACAAATTCCTTATCTTCCTTGCTGAGTTCTGTACACACCACCACCATTCAAAAAACTCTAAATGGAAAAGATTTAAGGGAGTGCACTGCTGCATAATGCAAAAGGGAAAAGAGGAATAAGAACTCCTCTTGCACCATTTGAAGACTGCTCACACATGACTTCCCCTCGTCTTCTTCTTTTTTGTCTTTTCTTTTTTGCACATTCAGAGTTTGGACTATTTGTGCTATCTCCAAAAGCCAGTTCTTCCTAGGTTTCCTTGACCTATCTAGTTTTTAAAATAAGTTATAACATTGAGCCAATTACCACCAAATAAAGACACACATTTGTATCAATGCAACCAGTTCATCTGTTTAACACTCACCTGCTTGCTGTAATGGAGATGGTCCTATGTGCTTGGAAGTAGGATGCCACCTAGGACGCTGGTGGCAGACAGTCCAGAAATCAGGGCAGCAGTCAACAGAGCCAGCAGAGCCAGAAGTACAGAAACTGTCACAATAGCATGTGGCATTTCTGGCGTAATAATGAAATGTGCAGCCATCGTCTCTGCCTGGACAGCAGCCTCGCAATCTACAATAACTTCCCCTGGAGATGGTTCTTTTGACTTTGCCTCTTCTAGAATAATTCCCATCTGCAGAAGAGTCTTTTTGCAGAAAAACATTTCTAGAGGAAACTAATTCCTCCATGCTAAGCATGATTGCAAAGCAACATGAGATCAATATCTGGCTATTGGTCCCCATTCTCAAGAAACCTAGTAGATTTTTTAAAAAATTAATTTTCTCACTAGATTTCACTGATTCAGCTAGATCTCTTTGTCTGTCAAAAATGTGAGTCAAAACTCCTCATGATTCAGCAAGAAGTTTAGACAGAAACTTGAAACAATATTCTGTGCGAAGTGGAAAACATTTGTACTTTAACCAGCAGTCAGAGATGCTATAAAATGTCTTGTTTACACAAGGCCAAGGTGGGGGAACTTTGAGTCTCACGTGAGTCAGGGATATGGACATTGAAAAATGAACGTAAATACTTTAAAGAAAGTTGGAACTGAAGCGATGATCCATGAGCAGAGATAAGATATAAAGGATCTTTCTAAAAAGAAACCAGTTGTGGCTCACAACCATTATGCATAAAATGTATTTTGACATTTCATGGGTCTATCCTTGACAAGATCAGTACTGGGCTTGGTTTCTACTCATGATGTTATCATGTCCTGACACACATAAGAATATTGAAAAATTCCCCATGCTTCTTAGGCTGCATTTGCACTGCAGAAATAATCCAGTTTGACACCACTTTAACTGCCATGGCTCAATGCTATGGAATTCTGGGTTTTTTTAGTTTGTTGTGGCACCAGAACTCTCTGACAGAGAAGGCTAAATGTCTCACAAAACTACAATTCCCAGAATTCCATAGCATTGAGCCATGACAGTGGTGTCAAGCTGGATTATTTCTGCAGTACTGATGCAGCCTGAGTTGGAGGATGCACTATTCAACCCATTATGGTGAAATTCATAAGTTTTTGGTTAATGTGGGATACAGCTGCCTGGCTGCTTGTGAGGACAAGGTGATAAGAGCACATAACACTGATTCTGTTCCAGCTAGATTAATACCTAGTGAGTTTCTGGGTGCAGCTTCAGATCACATTATTTAAACTCCACAGCTTGCACTTATATAAACCAGCCCAAGTATCATGATGTTCATGCTTCCACCAATAAGTTCTACCAACACAAAGGAAAGGCATTTTGTCAGTTGAAAACATTTTTATACTCTGCATCATCAAAACTGACTCCCAGACATTTTTTTATATTACTGATAGGCATAAAACCCTGAGAGATACAGATTTAAAAAGCTATTAGAGCTAAAGGATATAAAAGGAATTTAAAAGCCTGAGCAAATAAACTGTTGTTGCCTCATGCCTAAAAGAAACTCTGCTGCTATGTAAATCTCAGGAAAGCTGATATAATCCAGATAATATGCAACTTTGGGCCTATACAGACTACCAAAAATAATCCAGTTTGAGGCCACTTTAACTGTCCTGGCTCAGTGCTAGGGAATCATGGGAATTGGGTTTTTTTTTCTGAGACATTGAGCCTTCTCTGTTAGAGAGCTCTGGTGCCACGATAAACTACAGTTCCCTTGATTCCTTAGCACTGAGCCAAGACAGTTAAAGTGGCCTCAAACTGGATTATTTCTGACAGTCTGTATAGGCCCTGAATTGTTCAGGCTTCTAAATCTAGCCTTCCATGTGGTGTGGGAATTCTGGGAGTTGCAGTCCAAAAGGTGACTTTTCACATGAGCCACTCCCAATCTAAATATACCCACCAGGGCTTGCCTACTCAGTCAGTTTTAAGCTATGAATTTGAAATTGATATATTCTTAATTTTATGTCTGGATGATTTTAATGTGTAATGGTCATTTTAGTCTTATGTTTTAACCTATGTGTTTAAATGTTTTTATATGTTTAGTTGTATATTGCATTTGTATCCTGCCTCGAGACTTAGGAGTAGCAGTTAAGACGCAGATGATGATGATTATCATCATCATAGTCATCATTAGAATGAGGCGATTGCCTCAGATGGTAAATGTTGGGTGGTGGGAAGGGGAACAATGGTTGCAACTCCCCAGCCATTTCTGTCTGTTGGAGGTCAATGTTGTGCCTTCCAGGAAGGCTGCCATCTGCTTCCCAAGCCAGCCTGCTAGCCTCCAGTAAGGTAGATGATGGTGTTCCATCACTATTGTTGCTGTAGTTAAGAAGGATATGTTTTGTCATTTTGCCTCAATTAGCAAAATATCTTAGACTGGGACCAGCTGGCTCTGGTATATCAGCATCCTCTGGGGCTCTGCAAATGTTTCATCTGTACACTTCTTGTATTGAGCTTTGATCACCAAAGAGTCCAGGGTGTGGTTCATAGGGAGGTATCACTTGTGAAAATTGCAACTCTAATACACCTGCAGAATTAAGCCTGTCTTCATGTCTGTCTGTTTACATTCCTCATGCATGCTAAAAATAAATGTTTGGCATGCATGAAGCCAGCTGCAGAGAACTACAGGACATTGCTGAAGACTGTACCTTAGATATGACTCATTGTGCATTTTCTTATGAATGGGGATTTTCTATTCCCATCTTCTCTACAAAACCCATCCCTAAGAGTTAGGAAACTTTTAGAAAAGCCTTTGATGTAGTATGGGGTGTGAAAGTTATCTTGGGAAGTACGAATCCAAGATCCCTGTTTCATGAGCAGGAGCATCTTTCACATCTCCCATCTGTGTTTGTTTGTTTGTTGGGTGCCTTCAAGTCATTTTTTGCTTATGGAGACTCTAAAGTAAACCTATCATAGGGTTTTCTTGGCAAGTTTTCTTCAGAGGAGGTTTGCCATGGGCCTCCTCTGAGACTGAGAGTGTGATTTGTCCAGGGTCACCCAGTGGATTATTTATTCCCAAGTGGGGAAGCGAACCCTGATCACCAGAGTCTTAGTCCAACACTCAACCCACTATACCACAGTAGCTCTCCAATCATATAGGGGCTAAAATTAGGAAATGGAGTCACACAGGCCAGCCCAACCTGTAGTTTCTATGGCCTTGGTGCTCCATAGATTCTAAACTACATGGAGCAGCCAGGTCTGAACAGAGCATCTGCTCATGAAATTGTGGATGGTGGCCCTGGATTATTGAAACCCTGTGAAGAAACAGCATTTACCTTTGGGAACCTTCACACTACACATTTGTAGCACTATGATTCCATTTTAGCTATAATGACTCAGTGGAGGGCCCTGGGTCCTAGTATCATGAAGGAAGAACAAAACAACTTCTTATCTACTCTCTCTGCACTAGAAATGTAAGCCTTTGTTTATTTTGTTCTTACCCATAATGCCAACAACAACAACAGTTTTTGTCCCTAAATTATAAGAGCACACAGCAAGGGACAGCCTGGGGATTCTGTTGGTTTACCATCTACCCTGTTACGTAACAGACTCCCTGGCTGAGTTGACACAGCTGATCTCGGAGTTGGTGTTGGAGTCTCCCAGGCTTCTTGTTCTGGGGGACCTGAACATCCCCTTCGAGTCAGGCTCATTAGATCTAAAAGGTGTAATTCAGGAGTTCATGACTTCCATGACAGCCATGGGCCTATCCCAATTAGTCACGGGTCCAACACATTGTGCTGGTAATACACTCAATGTGGTCTTTAGTACGGATCAGGAATATCCGTGGGCTGAAGTAATCCAGACTTCTGCCCTGTCATGGACAGATCATTTCCTGGTCAAGGTAGGACTGAAGGCTACTACCCATATTCCTCTCGGGGGTGGAGGACCCATTAAAATGGTCCACCCTCCAAGGCTGATGGAACCCAAAAGGTTCCAGGAAGCCTTGGAGGGTTTTATGGTTGGGAATGACAGCGATTCTGTTGAAGCCT